CGGCGGCGCGTAGGGGGCGACATGGAGGTGGCGCGGGTAAGGGAGCTTGCGTGCGTGGGCGCTTTACGGCAGTTACATAACGCTGGAAACGTAACTTCGCCCGGGAAATCTCGGTTTTTGGGTTTTTGTGTTTCTTCTTTGTTGCTTCAGTGACTGGATCACTCCTGCGGGGATCAGATGAGCTCCAGTGGTGGGCCAGCCCTTTCCGTGGCAGGGAGCAGGCAAGGGGTTGCTTTCAGGCTTAATTTTTAGTCATGAAATTTTTTTACTTTTGAGGGGAAAAAAAGGGGGGGGGGAACACTCTCTTCTTCCCTTCCCGCCCTCTTGCTGTATGTGCGTGACTATACGATTGTTTTATTTCCCTGCCAGGTTCCCAGCGTGGGGTTTTCCAGTTGCAGTCATTGCAGCCTTTGCGAGCATTTACTTTTTACCGTCTCCTATTGATCCAGAACCGTTCATGTAGGTTCCCCTGCTTAATTTTATTTCTCAGCTCAATGGCATGCTTGCGTTGGTCAGGCAATATCTGCGTTTCCAAAACTTTTCCTATACCTTTCATCCTGCAGGGGCAAAGCATGCATGTGTATCCCTTAAAAGTGAGAAAATATATGCACTTTTTTAAGAAATTATTTTATTGTGAAACGGTGGTGACTAATGCAGTATTCGTACATATGTGTAGACAGATTGTTAGTAGATCTCAGAGTCATGTTTGGGAATAAAACTTATTCAAGATGATGGCAGTTTTGCTTGTGTATTGATTTCTTTTCAAATGTCTGTTCTTTTTAGTCTGTGCCTGCAAACTCCACAAAGTTGTTAATTTTTTCTGATGTAGTATTTTTAATGAATTCCTTTGAGAAAGAAGATACTTTTTTACTTATCACTCTGGAATAAAGTCCTGTTATTTTCCCTTAAAATAGTTTTATAGTCCAGTGTTGTCTTGTTTCTTGAATCTTATTTATAAATAATTCATTTGGTGCAGATTTGAAAAGCCACCTCCTGCCCTAGTTGGATCATTGCAAGTGAATAAAAAGCTTCAGAGTGGACAGAGAATCTTTACGGGACAACTGAAAGGTCCTGAGTCTTTTACTGTTGATGATGAAGGCAAGTAGATAACTTACAAATGGGTAAAATAACCAGATACATCTGCTTCGTCAAGTTATTAAAATAAAGGACTTAGTGAGTTTAAAGCCAAAGAAAGAGAAATAGGAATGTTTGCTAAATGAACGCTCCAAGAATATTAAAATAATTGTATGTTCTTCCATATCTTTACAGGGGTAGACATTTCTCAGGAAATACTCCAGAATGTTTTATTGTCTGATGCTTGCAAAGACGCAGCAAATGTCCTGCTGCTGTATTAAAAAGCAGACCCACAAATTGCCAATGCATAGAATTTGTATCAAAGTACAATTTTTAAAAGTTATAAAATTGCATATTCTTTAAAGGTGCAAAACCGACTAAATATTTTTGTGAGTATTCTTCCAAATGTGAGAATAAGCTTAGGCTTTTGATACAGAGCTAGTTGCAAGCTTGACTTTATTTTTTTTCCATTTCAGGCCTCCAATAGCAGTGTTATTTTGCTGCTTGCAGTCCGTTACCAGGTTCAGCACAATCTTACTTCAAAAGTTGTTATTCAACAGAGCCAAAGTGGGAAGGCACACTGAGTTGTTTTAGACTTTGTGTATTCTCAAAAAACATATTTTTAGACCAGGTTGGAATATGAAAGAACTTTTTAGTGTAATGTAAATCCTCCACTTAGCTAACCACATAATTCATCTTGATTGTCTGGCAGCTGTGAGGTGGCAAAATGTTAGGTGCAGGAACCATACAGATGATGGGAAGCAGAGGGCTGAAGAGGTAACTAGCAGCATGGCATCTTTTGCATCTTTACAACAACCTGGCTTACCCAGAGTGTAGATAAAGTAGGGACTGGGATGAGAGCTCAAGTAAAATGGAGGAGGCATGCTGTGATCTTCTGTTTAGGACAACAGTTTAGTGCTGTGGACTCAGCACTTGCCAGTTTTGGAGGATTATTTTTTTCCTGATGTGAAGTGGATAACATAGATTCCCTCTGAAGTCAGTACTGAGCAATTGGCAGCTCCAAAATCCAGAGCAGTTTGAGCCAGGCAGTTCAAATACCTTCTTTTACTGCTGGTGCTAGTTTTATGATATTTTTCAATGAAATATTGAATAGCCCAGGACATGTTTATCTCAAAGGCATTGTTTTGTGCAGTGTTCCACAGAGGTAAGAGGTAATCATCTGGAATGCTCTTGCTTGCCATTGTGCAAGCTGAAGTTAAATTTTTTTTCAGTCATAGCAGCATGGGACCAGGAGGGACCTTTAGCTCAGCTGTTTACTTTGAGGCACTCATTCCTAGCAAATGGCTAACTGGTTTCTTAAAGCCATTTCCTTCCTCCTTTCCTCAAGAGTCGTATTTTAAATGGTCTTTTTATCACACTTTTTGTTCTCTTTCTCCTCCTTTAAAACTTCCAGGAAGTATAGTGCTGATGACTGGAGTTTTGCAGAGTATATTTTAAGTATGAGGGCTTTGCTAGCCCTGCAAATGCTCCATGTTGCCAAATCTAACCTGTTCTATGAGGCTGTATCAAATATTGTTTTGATGATCGTTTTTTTTTTTTATTGTGTTAATTCCACCATGGAAATTCCCTAATTTTAAGGATATTTTAGGAGATTGGGTTCCGTCTGTTGATATCATACAATATGACCAAGACTGTAGTCACTGTTGTGGTGTTGCCTGATTTAGGCTGTTTTCCATATGTGTTAAGATGGGTTATGATGGGTAATAACTAGAATAGATAATATTTTGTCTTTAGTTTACTACAAATACTCATAAGAGAAGTCAAGTTTAAAACCCCCTTGTACTTTCTATATAAATTTAAATATGGCATAGTAGCTTAGTGCATAGCATGACAGGAAATAGTGGTACAAGTCTAAGATTTTTCACTTCAAATATGGAATCTGGTATGTGAGCTGAAATTTCAGCTGTGTCCAGCATGCCTAGGGAGGCATTAGAATGCCAGTATATTTGATGACAGCAAAGTCCAGTCTTTATTTTTTCCCAGGCAAAATTACTGTGTTGAACAGTGGCTCTGAAGCTCTCCCTTTGGATAAACAGGTGCCCTCTGTATGCCAGTAATCCTAGACAATTTTTTTAATCTAGATCTGACAGCTGATATCTTGAGAATCTGTCCTATCAGCTCCTAGTATTTTTCCATGGATGTGAGTGAGTAGATGCTAAACATTTTTATATCTGTTTATAAGCTCTGGTGTAAGTGCTCACTGGACAAAGTTAGAATCCATAGTCTTAATGAATATTATATCAGAAAGGCAGTGTATCTTTTATGCAGTATCTGTTAATGCCTGTTGCCAAGTATACATTTTTAAATGTAAACAAGGCTGGGCTGAAGATGCAGTTCACCTGTAAACAAAATAATGTCTTTTTTACCTCAGTCTCCGTAATCACAGGCATATCAGAGGAATGTTTCCAGACAGTTAACAAGCTGTATGCTAAAAGTGTATTTTGTTGAACAGTAAGTCTAGGATTAGTCATGTGCCCTGGACTATTTCAGAGCCTGGACTAAGCCAAAGATTACGGAGGTACCAGCTTTATTTTTGGAAGGTGTGGCTTAATCACTAGTAGTGATTCTCCTTGGATATTCTGTATGGAAGTTTTTTGAGTTACAATGTCCTAAGATTTGAAAATGTTCGGTGATGTTTTGCCTTGTTAATTCATATATTTTAAAAGCAGGGGAAAAAGCAATTACTAAGCAGGCATACAGTAAAAACAGAGCTTAGCAGAGCTATTGCAAACATATGCATTTTTGGTATTATTTTGATGGCTAAAAAAAGAAAGCAAAACATCACAACTTAAAAACTTTTTTTTTTTTGCTTAGGATTTTGATGTTGTAGAAGCAGGATTATTTTCTTGTATTGAATTATTCATTATAATGTTCAGGAGGCAAAAGGAAAACATTATGGCTAGCTGCTAACATTGCAGGACCCTCAGGAGGAAAAGTAGATTGCATGAGCTTTGATGCTTTCATTGATACTGATGGCCAGTATGTGAATCTGTGCAGTCTGGTCCTTGATAACCCAAAGAATGGGTGCAGTCCTTCTCTGCTAACCCAGAAAAGTCTTAAGATAGCTGTTTATGTGCGGTGTTTACTTAAAATAAACATATGAACAACTCAGATTTTTGCTAATCTCAGATTGTCCTTCTGCTCTTCCTTCTGCTTTATGAAAATAACTCAAAAGCAAGCTGTATGTTGGTTTGTATATAAATATGGAAGTTGAGAGAGAGAAAGAAGGGATCACAATAATGAGCACTATCCTTCTTATATAGTATGTTTTACTTGCTTTGGTCCCTTTTAAAACAATGTTTTAAAATACCTAAATTTTAAGGTAATCTCTACACTGGTACTGTGGATGGGAAACTGTGGATGATCAGTGGTGACCAGTTGCATTTCATTACTCAAATGGGGCAGAATATGCCTGAATGTGGTAAGTGATGATTTTTATGTGAAAATGACAACTAATTTGTTTGTATGAACAACATTGAATGAAAATTGAAATTTCCTCTTACCTACTGCTAACATTTTCTGATTCTTTCATGCAAAATTGTAAAACAAACAAACAAACAAACAAAAAAAAACCCAAGAAAACCCCCCAAACCTACTACTGCCTTAATGGAATTTTTCCACTGGTTTCTACAGTTAGGTACCACCAAGGCCCTCCTTCATTAACCAGTTGGACTTTTACTCTAGAATTGTTTTTTAAGAATCTCTTTTGTGGGGCTTGTCTGTACTACAGCTTCATTGTTTTGGTGCTGACCAGCTCTACTTAAGATGAATTACATATTCAAATTTTCCTAATATAGGCAGTATTAAGGCTTAATGGCACACTCATGTAGTCCCTGAGAGTGATTTGGATAGACTCGTCATGGATTTCCATTTAAATAAAGAATAACAATTTATATAAGCCCATGTATATAAAGCTTTTTGAGCGTGTTCTAAAGACACAATTTATCCTGTTATTTTCCTGCCTCAAGATCAAAACATGTTTTAGAAACACTTCAGATCTTACAAACGAATGGGAGAGACAGAAGAATAGTGTCCTGGTACCATCATCACTAACTGGACTGCAAGGTTGAATTTCCCTTTTTCATTTATAACGGAGGGAGACAAACATTGAAGCAAGGGTGAAAAACACCCTTTTATCCCATTGCTTTTTTGATGAATCAGGCAGGCCTGAAAAGCCGTTAAAACAGTTGGTTGGTGTTCGCCTGGCTTCCTGAATTTATGACAGTTTTGTAGGTGCTTTCCCTGTCCTTGGAGTCTCTGTGCTATTGGGTAACCTCAACTGAATTTGAAACAAGTCTCACAGATTCCTGAACTTTTTTGAGTCTTAGGAAAATAACTGACCATATGGAAACTGAGAGACTAAAATGAGCGATCCATTCACAGTGAGACCAGAACTCAGCTCTTGACTGTTTGCCAGCTGATTCACAGTGAGACCAGAACTCAGCTCTTAACTTTTTGTCAGCTGGCAAACAGTCAGTCAGCTTGTGTTACTGATGTGTTACCCCTCTGATGAGCTGTTACATACGTAGTCCCTTCCTTGGTGAAGTATCATAGTGCATATCAAGATGCATTGATTTCAGTGCTCACAGGAAAATTTATTTACTATAAAAATACTAAACATGGTACACCTGGTTTCTATAGTTTTACCTGAGGAACACTTACAGGACTCTCAGGTGACTTTCGGAACTTAGGACCCTCAGCTGAAGGGAAGCAGTGAGTTAAATCTTTCCTAAAAGAAGTTTTATCCCATCTTTTTCTTGTTGATAGAATTTAAACAGCAGCTTTAAAAATAAATAACTGAGGAGAGATTTCTTTTCCCTCAGCTAGGCAGTTTTGTTTTACTGATTTACTAATCCTACCAATTCTGCAGTCATCTTTAAAGTAGTAGGGGGAAAATAGAGTAGTGCTGAATTTCTTTGAGTGTTGGGAGCAAATTTTTTTAAAGTAACAGAAGAAACAGAGATGACTAGGCAGACATTATCCTGTTGTTTCCTTCCTTTGCGAGGTACTTTTAGAGAAAGTTGAAGGAAGCTTTTAAGGATCTGATTTATTCAAGGAGGATAGTTTAGTGCTTTTCAGACTTTACATTTTGGTATTTTTGTTTTGTCAGCCTCTTAGTCTTATACATTTTCCTATTTGTATTACAGGAACTCCAGATTATGAACCAAAATGTGGCCGGCCTCATGGAGTCCGAATAGATCGGGATGGTAACTTGATTGTGGCAGATTCTTATTTTGGCCTGTTCAAAGTCAGTCCAAGGACAGGAGAAAAAACCCTCCTGCTATCGAGTGAACAAGGTGATGCTACAGTCAGTGAGAAAGTAGATTGAGCTCATTTTTTATCTTCATATATGTATATAAATTGGAAAATCAAGGCACTTCAATCATTTGAGATCAGTACTAGTGATAATGGGGACTATGATTGATTGAAAGCTCATTGACTGTACATGCTTTACATTTTTAAGATTTATTTTAAAAAAAATCAAACAAAACAAAAGCAAAAATGTATGTCAAGGGTTTTTGGTTTGGTGCGTGTCACATTGAATTGCAATGATGTGACTTATCTTTCCCTGCAAATGAAAGTCATTTGGAGCTTGGCTTTTAGCTTGGGACAAATTTAGGATAGCATTAACTACAAGATTTGGACTGGAAATGGCGAAAGTCTTAAACTTGTGTGGATCTGAACCATTTGGAACACTTGGTGAATTTCTACTTATTTTAGTCATTGTTTTTATTAACTAGGTGTGGATGGAATTCCTTTCAAGTTCCTAAATGGATTAGAAATATCAAAGAAAAATTTGATTTATTTTACGGATTCAAGTAGCAAGTGGGAGAGGCGGCATCACAAATACGAGGTCAGAAGAGCTACTCTTCTTAGCCATTTGTTCAGGAAGCTTAAGTGTTAAATTTTGTACTGGTAGCACTGGGTACTAAGGAACAGAGGAGACAAGTTTCCTCTCTTGTGCTTTTGTGTTTCAGCCAAGCATGCTATGAAGGCAGCATGTTCAGGCCCTGAGGCAGAGCATGGGTTGTGCTGTTCTGTAGCTGCTCTTCTGAAGAAAAAAAGAAAAAAAAAATCAGGGTATGGCTACTCAAAGAAATTGTCATGTGATATGCTATAATCTGTATTTTTTTTTTATAGCATGTTAGTTCCTCTGTGTCTACAAGCATGCTTTTATTCTGCAATAAAAGCAAGGTAGCTCATTGCTGGTGTACCTGAAGGTATCTTTTCTGTGTAGTCATATTCTTTAAACAAAACTTTATGCAGAAAAGACTGTTTGTAAAGTTGAAATTCAGTGAGGTCACAGAGATAAAGTTCCTGTTGAGTCTTATCTCTACAGAGAATTCTGGATAAAATTTGGCCAGGAGAAGCATTGCATGAAAACATGAATATATAATTTTTTTAAAGCACGAAGAAGGGACAGGTTATTGAGATGCAGCTTATTAAAGGACAAAAAAAAAAAAAAAGAATAGCTGAAATCACTTGTGTGTAGCCTTCTGTTTCTTAAGCTATCAGAGTTACTGTTTGATTGTGCATCATGCCTAACTCATCTTTGCCATTTAGTAGTTCAGTGTTGACAAGGTGCTGCCAGTACAAAAACCAAACATAAAGGCTTATTTATACATATATATATACCAAAGTTATCCTGCAGATTTTTTAGCAGTAGACTTACCATAATTATTTTATCTCTGAAGTAAAACGTCAGCTCTTTACTTGCTTTAGAAAAACATTCGTGGACTCTTTCCAGTTTTATTTTGAAAAAGTTGTAGTTGTTCTTTGGAAAAAGTTGTTGTAATTGTAGTTGCAGTTGTAATAGAAGCTTCATAGGCCTTAACAGTTTGCTAAAGGAGGAACTATGGAAGAGCAAATTTTGAATTGTAGGCTTTGTACCCACCCCTTGCCTGGGTTTTTTGAGAATGCTGTGATCAGTCTGGGAATTCACTGTTGTAAAAGGTGAACAAAGTAGGTTGCACCTTTAGTGTTGTGAACTTACTTACTATTTTTTATAACGATGACACTGCCATCTGTAAGATCTGCTTTTGCCTAAATTAGGTTAATAAAACTTCTAAATATTTTCTAATTGAAACCAGGTATTGTGGTAGGCTAATTTTTCACTAGATGTATTGGTTAAGGTAATAGAAACAAACCATCTTGGACGCCTCTTGACCTATGATCCTGTAACGAGAACGGCGAGAACAGTGCTCAGTGGCTTGTACATGGCAAATGGCATTACACTGTCTCCCCATGAAGATTACATATTAATAGCGGAAACCAGCATATGCAGAATCATACGGTATGTTAACATTTTTCTCCTCCTGAATATAAAATATTACCTAGTAATATATATAGCCTATTTTTAATCAATTTGCAGACATGATTTTCATGTTTTCTTATTTTTCTGTTTTTCCTCACTTTTCTAGAATTTAAATGGAAGATATGCAGTTAACATAGTTACTAGTGGAAACTTAGTCTTAAAAGTTTTTTTTTCCAAAGGCAAGGATTTCAGGTTTTAGTTAAATCTAGCTAGACATGAACAGGTGCTCTATCCACTGCTAAATTTTTTTTCTACCTATTTACTGATGTATTGGTCTCCAATTCCCTCAGTCTGTATTACAGTTATAGCTTAACTGCCTAAAACAGACCTCAAAGGGCAAATATCATTACATGATTACACCCATCAGCATAATATCACATTTTTCCCATTTTAAAGGGAATCCATGTTTTTGTAATGCTTTATAATTTTACATTTTATAGTAACTCTAAAGAAACTCAGTAGGTTCCCTTTCTACAAAAACGATGCCAAATACAATATTAGTCTTCATTTAACAACAGGCACATTTTCTATGAGTTGCAACACTATGTGATCCTTTTTTGGGGGTACTGTTTATTTTACATATAGAAAGCTTATTGACAAATCATCATTGCTATTCAAATTTAGTCCTTCTTGGCCCTTACTACTTCCTGCAGAGTCCCTTCCTCTAATTTTGAGCAATTCCTTGTATGAATCACAAAATGACATGTCTTCCATGCTGTTAAGCTTGGTGTATTTTGCACTGCCCCCCCCCCGTAACTAAATTACTGAATTCACTTTTTTGGCAGCTATTGGGTGAGTGGAGCTAATGCAGGAGAAACAGAAGTTTTTGTGGACAACCTCCCGGGATATCCAGACAACATCAGATTATCAGACAAAGGCTTATACAGAGTTGGAATATCTACTGCTCGCTTTCCTAGTTTCTTTTCTCCTTTTCTGGATGCTTTAGGACCTTATCCATTCCTGAAGAGATTTATTGCAAAGGTAACTTGGACAGTGTGTAGTGTCACTTAATTATTGGCGTCACTGGGAGTTTTTCCTTACAGAAACGTTAATCTTTTAAGGCATGAACAGTACCAAGGAACTTACTTGTTATTTTTCATTAGGAAATCTAAGAAACATTGCTTGATTTTACCAGCCAGCATCCCAACACCTATAAACCTAGGCTCTTCTGGAATATCTGCAGACTAGTGTTTTTGAGGATTGATTTCTTTTTACATTTTTAAACCACAGCAGTTTTATTATTGTGGTAAGACTGAGAACAACCCATCTGTAAGGCAGAATAATCAGTTTTGACAAAAACATTCCCTATTTTGCAAGCTCTGATCCTTTTGTTTATAGCAACATCGTATTTTTTCAAAGCAGGTAAAGAACCCTTTCTGCAAAATAAAGGGCTTTTGCTGTAGGAATCAAACTCTTCACAAAGAAAGCCAAGAGAACGTAATTCTGGTCCTGCAGGAATCATGTGGTTAGTTATGACTAAACATGGTACTTGTTTTAGGAACTATGCTGTCTTTTCCCTAGAGCTTGTACAAGAAAAACAGAAGTAGGAGCGTGAGTTGCACTCTATCACCTCCCTCTTATTCCTGATTTTAGAAAATGGTTGGCCGCTCAGATAGATTCAAGCAATACTCACACCTTCTTCAGCGAGCAGACACTGACTATACTTTAAGATTAATGAGCTATTACTAGGCTGCCAGCTTTAGACATAGTCCAGTAGATATCATCAAAAGATATAAATGACAGCTGAATCTGACCAGCGCAACATCTGGAAAGCAGTAAATTAACAACTCTGTTTCTTCCTATTCATACTCTTTTTTTCCCCCCTTTGAATGACATGTTAACAATATATGTTTATTTTTCTAAAACAGGTGACCCCTCTATCATTCTACAACATTTTTCTTCATAAGCATGGCTTGTTTTTGGAAATTAATGACAAAGGAGACATCGTGGAAAGCTTCCACGACCCTGATGGTAGCATCACTTGGACAGTCAGTGATGTCTTTGAACACAATGGGAAGATGTACCTAGGTAATACAGAACTGCCTTTTCTTGTGGTGCTACAGTAGACTTGCACGTTTTCATAAGCTGGTGCCTCAAAAGAAAAACAGTAGTATTCCTTCAAGCAGCTATTAAGTATTTTCTCTACTTAGCAGAGGGCTGCTGCAGCACTGAAGAGGTCGAATTGAAATTAATACCAAATGGCTAAACAGCAATGGAGCACAGAAATGCTTGTTTTAAAAGCCTGGGAAAGCCTCAGCTGTAAATAGGTTAGATGTAAGTAGCTATGTTTTTAAACAGTTGCAGAGTTGTCCAAGGAATTCAACTCTAATAGGGTGTTGAGGTGAGTACTGTATATTTTATTCTTAGCTCCAGTTCATATTTCGGAAGAACCCTTGTTCCTCCTTTACAGAGGCGGAAAACATACTGCTTTTAGTTATAAACAGTAGTTCTCCATTGTCTTTTTCTTGTTTTCCATATCCGTTTCCAGGAAAGTATATTTGAACATACACAGCTTACATTTAAACTTTGTCCTATTTGCCTATTTTTTTCCCTAATGCAAATTAGTCATGTTGTATTTTGCTAGATACTCTACAGAGGGATCAACTGCAGGTCAGTCCAGTAACTGTGACTATAAGGAAAGGAAGTTCACTAGTGGCAAGTATGTAACAGTGCAGCAGGCAGAGAACAGGCTTATAAATTAGGAGTCCAGTCTCTTAGCTTGATCCTTTGGAAAGGTTTAACTTTAGTTCAGTAACAGAAAGATCAAAAGTTTTATAGGCAGTTTATTTTGTCTTTCCCCAAAAGTGCAGCAGTGAACAGGGTCCTCTGGAAGGGCACTTTCTAAACAGATGTTCAAAACAGAGCAGAAATTAAGTATGCTCACAACATGCTACAGCAAAGTATGCTCCCATACAGAGAAGAGTAATACAAATAAGATACACTTTAATTGAATCCATAAAAAAAAAGACAATTGTTTAGTTATAATCAAATACCATATTTCATTTGTGTAATAGAACAGTTTTAAATGTGATAGTTTGAACAGATTTTATACCTGCTTTGTGTGCATGCGTGCTTGTGTTTTATGTATTTACTCCCAAAATACAAGAATGCCAGTTCTTTGGGTCTAGGCTGGGTAAGCATGTAGTTAGCTGTATTCACTTAGGCTGAAGTAATGATACTGAGTAAGGTTTTCATTTTAGGTTAATATAATAAAGGAATCTAGTAACTGTATTTCTCACTGTATAGTATCTGCTTTACTAGATCAGAACATCAGAACTAGAGGTGAGAACTAAAATGATAATTAAAAAAAAAATCCAAAAACCAAACCAAAAAACCCCACACGTTTCACTTACGCCTAACTCTGCACCTGTAAGGGCCCTTCCTTTAATACAAATGCCTCCAGTAACAAGGTACATACACAGCCACCATCAAATCATGTATCAAATCAAAATCTAGGAAGACCATTTAGTTTTAAAATCACTTATTTGGGAATTATATCTGGCTGCAAGTTAAAGTTCCTTCATAATATTCTTTTAATCATCAAGGATAAGAATTAATACTGCCCATTCAGTGCTGTAAAAATAAATACCCATGGAATTAACTGCTTCTTGGAAAGAGATCGCAGATAAGTTGCAACAAACTTCTAAAAGCAGTGGAAGCCACACAGCTGTTTGTTCCCATTCTTCCTTCAACTACATGCTTTTGCTGAACGGCTATTCTCTTTTGGTAAGTAGGACTGAATAATTTTATTCTGAAATTGAGTTTAGTATGACATTTATTACCTGTGACAGATTGCAGGTATAGTGTGGTTCTCTGACACTGTGTGTGAAAGAAGGTAGGATACTCAGTCTTGTTACAGACTGAATGCTTTACAGGTATGCAGATATCAAAACTGTTAGTCTGGGTAAAATGCTTTCTCTGATCCCACTTACTGAATATTCTATATTGATTCTGTTCAGTTAACTTTCATACGTGCTGCCTAATACTTAATTGATAAGTCATTTAAAAAAATTTTGCTTGCTATGGCTTAGATCATTTTAAGAAGGGAGAGTGCTAAATTAATCAAGCTATACATTTGTACCCAAACATTTTTCCCCCCCCTCTTAAGAAGCATCATGACACAGATAACTTGCACGGAAACTTAAGTAGAAGTTTGTCATGTCATTTCTTAGATTCGATAGAACTGTTGAGGGTTTAACTTGCACCTATAAGTGTATTTCACTCCAGCCTCTACACAGCTACCAAAAAGAGCTTAAGCAGAGAACAAGTTTAAGTTGCTAAATATATGAGAGCAAAACACTACTTAAATGAACCTCAGGCTTAGCTCAGTGTGCAACCACAAACACTTGAGAGCATGAAAAAACAACTTTGGTTTCATTTTTAAAGAGAAGCCAGAGTCTGACAGATATTGATGGGCAATACAAAAGCTCAATAAACAGAACAGGATAAAGCTATGATTGTAGTGGAGGAAAAAACCCAAATCCTGAGTATCTGAAAGCATGCAACTAGACAGACAGTAACCAAGACTGTCAGCATTTATACAGATACTTCAGCTGAAGAGTTCCCTTTCAAGCTAATTTTTTTTTTCCTCCAGATGTTTGGTCACTCTAGAGATCAAAACAATGAGCTAGATTTGAGACAAAAATCTCTGAAAATATCTAACCTGTATACCATCACAGAAGTTTTACAACTCTAAGCTACGTGAAGACCAACATCTATCCTTTAGAAGTAAAAGCGAGGAAAATTCAACTGATCTTAATATAGCATTGCTTTTATCCAGTTTGTGGGTGTATGCGCTGGAGTATGTACCTTCATAGATTTGGAAGGAGTCATATTTTGTTGCCTACTTCATGTTTACTTGGTAGAAGGCTTCACCTGATGGGCTGTATTTCAGATGAGGCTAACCGGAAGGTTGAAAAGATGACATCACCCTTCCAAAGGCAAAACAAATGATCATGTACTGCAATCAGAAGTCTGGCTTGCAGTCCTTTGGTGCGAAGGCCACTTACTGCAGGTTGAGTAGTTATGTCTCAACCAAAAAGCAAATCTGTGAAGCACTTAAACAGCCTAAAATAGCCCTCTTACTATTGCCCAGCAGAAATTGTGTGGTTTTTTTTTTTTAAAATCTAGTTTGCTCTCAAAATAATTTAACTTCAAGCATCTAATTGGCTTAAGATGTTAGGCAGCTGGAGACATTTGGAGGTTAGAGAAAGATCAACTGTATTGTGGTACCTTGTTTTTGACTTTTAGTATTCCTGTTCATGTATTGAAACATAATTAAAATCAGCTCAAAACAGACACACTTATTTGAATTCTTGTTAGTGTCAGCACTGTTTTGATAACTCACTAAGCAACCTAAAACCCTAAACTTGAAAGTTTCAGTAGTACGTGTTAACCTCTTCTAGCATTTCAAACTAGAATGAGTTTGAAATCACATTCTTGTTTACAAGCTACCAAAGCAGATCTACAAAATGCATTGTTATTATTTGAAGTGGTCTTGTCGAAAGAAAAGAAGGTATTTAGCATACTGACTTTAATTCTGCACAAGACACTTGCCAGTCAGATCCTACAGTTTTGACTAGTGCCTTCCTATGCTATTTTGGGCTAGTTTGCTATTGCCGTTAACAGCTTTGAGCTCAGTACAGGAAACCAATAATTAAACCTAGCCGTTAAGAAAGTCCGTATGACAGGGTGTGAATATGGGTGAGCATTTCTGTGCAATAGCACCTGCCTATCTAACCGGATTCAAATATGCATTTATTGATTTTTTTTTCTTAAAGAACAAGATAAACTGTGTTCAGATTCAGAGGCCATAGGTCACCTCTGTGCCCGTGATATGAAAACGTACTTGAAAGACAAAGGTGGTAACCAAATATCTGAGCAAGACAGATTAGTTATGTCTGACAGTTTAGAATTACAGTTCAGCTGTAAATATACATATTGCACAAGGCAGCCAGCTAAAGACAAGGGTTTTTCTTCCAAACTGGGTTTGAACAGCCCATTAATAATCTTCCAGCTGTGATCAATGAAAGTTAAGAGACAGACCTGCTGCAGTCACTGGAAAAACTGGTCAGTGGGAGCTGATCACAAGAAGCTCTTAAATGCTTTATAAGGACTGTGCAGAAAACCTGCGAGCCCGAACACCATGATTGCTGAACATGAGGCGTGGGTCAAACCTGTACCTATAAAAGGAAACAATCTGTGTGAGTTACAATTAGTCTGCAGTAACTACTTCTAGAAATAGCATATTTCTAGAATAGCTGGCACAATGCTACATGAATACTTTTTTTTTGATAGCATACAGTGGGGACATTCTATGTATTGCAACAGATGAGTCATAACGATACAGAACTAAGGAGGTGATGTACTAGCTGATGATACTAGCTACACCATACTAACACCATACTTATTATACATAAGTATTCAGGAGGTGCATTCTGATAGAATGTTCTGCTGCCTCACACTACAAATCCACGTAGCACAACTGAAAGGACATTTTAAATGCTCTAAGAGAAAAGGGCTTCAGACCAAATGATTACTGAGTTTTAAGGTAAGAAGTGGAATTTACTTACAAGTGTTGACTATACTACATACAGCTTGGGTCCTGCAGTAAATAGTCTTTGCTAACCGCATCTCCAGAAATAATCAGAGCAAGTATTTAGAAAATTCCTGCCTGCAGAAATATGCAGAACTCTTTATTTGCAGGCAAACCTGAAGTTGCTTGTCTGTTGACTACTCAGTATAGCTGTAAGCTCCTCTATTCAAGATCTACTATTCAAGGATCAAGAAATCATCCCTATTAAACAAAAGTGTATATGCCAGTGATGTTCTATTCCATCATAAATACCTTCCCTGGAAGATTATTTTTTCTAAAAATATGTGGTTATACTTAAAAGTATTTTAATGAGTTGAAACAGTGTTTACCCGGGATCAAAGACGCCAGGTGTACGGCACGTTGCTCCTGAACAGGACTGCAGCATCATTAACCGATAGTTCATCTTTTCTAGAATTTCTTGATCTATTGTTTTAGCAATATTATTGATCTGGTGTGGATCTGCAGTTAAGTTATATACTTCAACAAACACCTGTTTAACAGAAGAAAGTTCATTTAGTGTATTAAGTGTTGAACGCTAATTAACATTAAGAACAGTTTATGGCAACAAACAATATCAAACGTTACATCGCAGCACTCTGTACACAAGCTATATTTGGTCCTGATGGCTAAGTGGTCAAAGGCAGGGAATTTTGTAGGTAAAGGTTATGTTTTGTTATAGCATAGTATCATCAGAAGACTTTTTACTCCCCTCCACTCTTCACACAACCCCTCCCTCCCTCCTCCCCACACTTAGTCTGCTGTGTAGTAGACGTTTTTCTGACAGATAAATAGACCCTGCCTTAAAGCTCACAAATCCAAAGCAAAAGACCATAGAGAAACTGGCTGTCATTTCATTAATTGATCTCAACAGATACACAGCTTCATTACCATCATGTCACCATTGTATGCTTGTTGTGTACATACACCTGTACAACTCAGACATGTCTTAACTATACATACAAAATACGCTGAATACAAACATGCAATCCTACTAGAAGAAAGCTTTTTATTATTGTGTACTTTGAGAACTAGGAGGTTTGCTTGGAAGATTTTAAGGCCGATTCAGTTTTTGGTAGAATAACTCTTTGAACCGTTCTGTAGGACAAATACTGGGCAAGCATATCAAGAATTCAGCTAAGGTTTTGTCTGTGCTGCAGTAGGTGCATTTGCAGCAGATGTTGGTTAAAGCTGGCTGGTTCGCATCTAACTTAAAGACATGTCAGCAGAGGCTTTGATTGCAAGCTCTCTCATAAAGTTCAGTACAAAGTTTTAAAATCCACATTCCTGCATCTTCCTGATACTATTAGTCCTAATTTAGCTGACCCAGGTAAACTGGGTAACCCAGAAGTGCAGCAGCTCTATCTCTGACAGGAAAAAAAGATGACATGACATCTGCTGAGATCAGCTTTGGAGTCTGCTTTTACAGAGAAAGATATAGCACTCCTTCTGCTTCTTCATAAGTTGTCAGCAAATGGAAGGAGAGGGCAGTCTGTTAATCAGCATCTTAGTCACCTCTACAGTCTTCTTGTCTTCCTGAAACAGCCAAGTTATTGGATTTACTCTTCTGCTATAAGTTCTAAGTTTACTGTAAGCTGTTAGAAAGTGCTTTGCATGCTGTCACATAACTACATGCTGTAGTTACAAACACCTGATTTATGCATTTACTATATATCTAGTCACAGGGTGATTGATCAAATTTGCGGCCCAAGTAGTTGCTTCAAACTTGATACGCTTTTTAGGAGCAACTGTGTACAAAAAGGCACAAATAAGATCAGCCCTTTAACACTTCCGTTTTGTGCATAAGCTGGTGCCTCATTAGGGAGATCTGAGCTGCTTCTGCAGGGGGGTATTACGTCCCATATACCCAAACAACTTAAGCTAAGGTTAGAGGCTCTTTCTTAAATTTGTAACTTAAATACTTGTTTTACCAGAACAGGCAAGCACATGACAAGTAGAGGAGAAATGATTAGTCTGAAACTTCAGTTCTTTCCAAGGAAGAGAGGTGCAACTGAATATAAGAGGAGCAGCAGCAGAGGTACTATGTAACAAATATATTTGTAGTACAAAAGAATCTGCTACATGGAATCAGGATAAGGCAGAACTGAAGGCAGCCCTAGTACAGCTTTCCATGAGGCTGCTAGCCGACTAATGACCAGAAGGCAATTATCACAGTTTAGGCTATTCCCCTTCTCCCCCCACCCCCTTTTTTTTTTTTTTTTTAAAAAAAAAAAAAAACACCACAGAGTTTTGGTCAAACATTCTCATCAGTAGTTAAACACTTTACTGTTTATCCTGCAAGCAATGCTAATCTGCTTTTCGCAGTACTTTATGCAAACCTTGAGAACAGATAGGACTGCAGACAGTGCCTAGCATAGTTGTGACGAGTTAACATCTGTTAGTGAGACAAAGAATTACCTCCCGGTCATCAAATTCACAGTACTGCAGATCCCAGGAAGTTGACAGTGTCCTTACACAAGCATATGTGTTGTTATAGGAATCTTCACAGACACAGTCTGGGAAACAGTGCTGTGAAGAAAGCAGTGAACAAATACTTCAGAAGAAAAAAGGAAACTAGTAATCCTTTCCCTAAAGTCTGTAACAGCTCAAACCACCTGCAGTTAATTGCTGAATACCAAAGTCTTAGAAAACAGGAGTCTCACTAGAGATTTTAAAGAAAAATAGCTCTTCTAAATTTGAGAAAGCGTTGCTAATCGACTCTCATCATAATACATTAGCTTCCCAGACAAAATACAAGTACCCCAAAAGGAACAGCAAAAACAGACTACTAAGACAACAACATCAAAGGGATGCTTTACTTAAAGCAAACATCCTTTGATTTTCAGAGCATAGCTAGTGACTTGAGTAATAACTGCAGATAAGAACTGTGCGACAAGGCCATCAGAGGTTTATAAGGAACACTATATCACTGCCACCCGTTTCCCCGAGCCCGCATCTTTCTGGATAATTCTCTGCTCTGGAGGCCTTTACAGATTCCCATTGAAAGGGTGATTGTGTTCTATACAGTATGCAGACATATTCGTTTCGTATGGTTGGGTGTCTCAGTTTTTGCTGTACAGCAGCTACAGAGCTAGCTCTTACAAATCAAGATGCTAAAAACTCGTCTCTAGAAACTTATTTCTAGAACTAGGTTAGCCCATAGAACAAACAGAGTTAACTCAGCAGCTGTTTTCTAATATTAACAAATTTTGTTCTGCTTACTGTAACACCAGGTCCTAGGCCAGGGCAGGTAGGATCACTGCCGTTGTATCCTTCTCCTTGGTACTCCACTAAGAAGTCTGATCTCCATGTCACATTTTTGTCTCCTCTCTAGGACAGGAAGTTAATATGGCTTATTATTTATTGCACTGTGAAACAGAAGAAGTTTTCCATGCCTGGAATAGCAAAAGCTTTTCATTCATTACACAGCAGTTTGAGTCACGGTCTCCAATTTGAGTCAGTCTTAAAATAATACTCAGTCTTTGGTTGGAATGCCTTGTGTAACTGGAGGGCAGAGATCCAGTCCAAAAAAACTAAACCTTGATGAGAAGGTATACTAGAGTACTAGCTTTGATTCATAAAGAATCACACAGTAAGATACAATAGGAGCCATGTGGCCAGATACCACCATATTATAGACAAGATCTCTCTGTAGGCTGTTTCTCTTTAGTTTTTAAATCAAACTACCACAATGGATGGAAAAAGATAGCCTTGGCATAAGAAAAGAAACAGTTTTAAGCAGCAACTAAGTTTTAAGCAGCTCTGTTTGTAGCTACAATTTAAAAGCTAGAGGGAGGGAAAAAAAAGCTGTAAGTTAACATACAACACCATTACAGGCACATACAATAACAGAATGAGTTCCAGAGTTTTGATTCTGACAGAATTTAAACTAGCTGCCTTTTACCTGCTTCCAGCTACAGAACAGCTTAAGGCTTGGATACAAGGTTTTAATAGCAAAGCACTGTTTTAAGTCTGGATGATCTCCTACGTTTCCAAGTAATCTGCCTTCAATTTATAGACTAAATTTAATTAGAACTAAAAGGATCAGCTACAAGCAGCTTTATTTAAATAGGCTTCTGCTCACTTCTTGGAAAGGTCAGGTTTACTTTATGAAACTACCTAAGTTTTGCCAGAGAGTTTAGGGGGAAGCACTGGTTCTGCTTAGAACTGAGGCAAACAGAAGTTTTAAGCAAGCACAGTCTGCTTTTGTCTTATATGTATACTGAGAAGTCCTAATCAAAAGAGGAAGGAGGGCATAAGGTGGAAACAGCATACAGCCTTCAGAACAGAAATGATTACAAATGGCAGGATTAGCCAAAGGATGACATAGCTTTGTATTACTAAGAGATCCTGAGGTTGCAGAGCTTTTCAAAATACACTTGCATTTAAACAGCATATCTGCTTTTTCACTAGGAAAACGCTAGGTGAAGCTGCTGTCAAGGGGACAATATGGACTGCAAGTCCACCTATTCCAGTGAAGGAAGTAGTATTCACTTTAAAGAATAACCCTTATAAGAATTACTAGTTACTATCCCTGTCTGTCCACTTACCAACAGTGGCAGTAGCGACATCCCATCCATCTGAGTCTTGTTCAGGTCATACCCTGCAATATCCAGAATAGTGGGACCCAAATCAATGTTTGCAACAAGCATCTGTAGGATGAGGGAAACAGTTAGTTCAAGACTGAAACCTAGCAGATGTAATAAGACTTCTGTATCTTAAGTAGTTGTAATTTCAGGTACATCTAAACAGCATTTAATTTCAACTTTATAGGCTAATGGAACCTGTAATATTCTCAAGAAATACTATTTTTTTGTTTTAAATTTGAAAAGCTTATGTAACCTCCCCACCTCGTTTATTTCTGTAGCTTGCAATTCTGTCAATTTACTGGTCAAGGGTGAGGGCGCATAGCTTTTTTAAAAATGAGGTCTTTGTATCTTGTATGACCCTACAGATTTTTTATTAATATATGTATGTGCAGGAGCATAAGTTACACCTAAAGCTGGTAACCATGAAACAATATTAAAAGCAAATCAGTATTTTGTCTTCATTTCTCATCTTACCTTGTTTGTCTGATTTGGTTTTATCCCTGGTCCTCGAACTAGCAAAGGAACTTTGATATCAAACTCATACAACTGCCGTTTGTCTATTGGCAATGAGAACTGACCTATTCAACAAAATCAGAAAGAGGAAGAAAGTTAAATGGTTTGTTTCAGGTTAAATAAATATATCATTTTATCTTTATATATATATATATAGACATATAAATATATATCTATATAAAAAAAATAAGAGTTTTGCATTACTCCATATAATTTCCAAGAACCAGTTTTAAGAAGTCAGAAGGGCTTCTTGACAATAACTACATTAACAAAGTGGGAGGAAGTGAAATAAGAACCTGGAAGTACAAGCCACGTTTTACACGATTTAACAGCTTAGATGTGGCTTTTTTGGTTGTGGAACATGATACAAAGACAGCTCTTTGAGACAGATTTTTACTGGTCAACTCTTTCATAGCAACTCTATGAAACACAAATCTTTCCTCCCTTTCTGTCATAATTTTACATATACCACGATACAGTGGAAGAGATTAATGCTCAATGAACAATAAAAAAAATTGCAATGCAAGAATGTGTTGCAACTCAAATCAGTACTTCTCACATCTATGGTTTTCCGTAACTGTTGTCTCCATTTTCTGGAGCGGTCATGAGGGTGACAAGTTAAGCAACTCCCAGATCGTCTGCAGATTTTTCAGTAAGCGATGAACATCTTACCAGTATGAAAGCCGTTGTCTGATGTGTAAAAGATGTAAGTGTTATCTAACTCTCCATGGAATTCCAGTTTCTTCACTAACTTCTCTATCAGGTCATCTACTGACAGCAGAGTTTGCCACCTATACAGAAACAAAAATAACTCATACTAGAGTATTAAAATTTAGAATAATTATGAATGCTGTTAGCATTCATATTATGCTTTAAATCAGCAGTGTACACACTGTAAGCAGACTTTATGTATTCTGAAAACAAACTGGATAGATTACTATACTGTACTGTTTGACACTGCAATTTAAGATAGAAATAGACTGTTTGTCTTCATTTTTTGTTGATTTTACTCTGTAGTGTCTGAGAAAGGTCAAAATGCCGATTACTTGTAACCTTATCTGGAGGCAGCCAAGAACAGCTTTGAAGCAATACAAGCAGCAAAGAGTCAGAGTGATCTCCTGCAAGGTCACTTGTTTTTACTTCTTTGTACCTAGTTTTTAATATTAAACACAAGCATGGTATGAGTTTATCTATAGGGGATCTTTTCTGCTTGAAAACTAAATCGGATATTTTTTATTACTCTTTCAGTATCAGGGTCCATTATTGTGGTGTATGTAAAGGCCTTGAACAGCTACTAGTTATTCTATCCTGTGTCATGGGATCTGCTGTTGAGACAAGTGACTGCTTCTGATAAGCCAATAATAAGCCTCCACTGTCTAGTATTATGCTGAATTAAACTAAGTTATTCAATTCTCGGGCCCCACTATCTTCAAGCTTTATTTAAAATTGTATTGCATTATTTTACTTAAATGTTTTATAAAGCAAGTGTCTGAAAAAAACAACTTGGTCTTCCATCTCCAAAGTGACAAGCTAACATGTGACAACTGCCCAAAACGCAGTTTAACATTTAAAGTTAGGTTAATGTCTGTTTCAGAACTTTTACAGAAAATAGTCCTACAATATAAACCAATATCCCCTTTACACACACACACACACACACAAAATAAGAGATTAACTGTACCTTCACTTCACCCCCCAACCTGCAATCTCTTAAAAAAAAAGAGGGAAAAAAAACAAAAACAAAAAACCCCATCCTCCTCGGCCAGTCAGCTATTACAGGTAGTCCCATCTAAGAGCAGCACTGACCAAGAGGTAAGATTAACAGAACAGACCAGCTGGCAGATGAATTCCAAATTCTTCTGTGATATTCATCAAATAAGATCAATTTAAGTGCCTCTGAAGAAGCATATGTTTTGTGAAAATCTGTTGTACGTGGAAAGTCAGAGAGACAGTAAAGAAACTCAGCATGACTGGTCTTTATGATAAATAATAGCAACATTTGTGAGCAAAAGACTTCCAAAGTCAACTGAAAGTTTGCAAAAGTGAACTGAAAGCAAGGTCTGTCACAAGACATATCCTAGAAAGCTATTACAGGTAACTTGATACCTGTTGTCAGACTTACTACAGCCCCTTTAAAAAAAATACCTGAGTTCTGATAGTAGGAGTCTTTGGAATCAAGAGAGATCCCTACCTCTTTCTATAAGCATCATCAAGAAACTGTATTGAAGAGTTAGTCATTGGAGTCTTTGCTTGTCGAATTAACCAGTGCTTGTTCTGAAGAGAAAAAAAGACAAAAAAGATTAGTGCAGCAGAGAAGTACAAGAACAGTTTTGTGCTGATTTCCAACCTTTGTTAGGCTGACTACAACAGAAACCTTGTTTAGGGTGAAACATCTGCATGCTTCCTGTAAATAGCTAGGTAACGCTATCAAACTGGCCAGACGCCAGTCTTCCCTTTCAGTCTATGTAAAGAACTAAGAGTAGAATATATCTCCAGTATACTCGGCCCTTGGTGAGAAGACAATAGAGCCTGGTAGAGGTCTGACTGGAGGAAAAAAAAAAAAAACAAAAAAACACACCCCTGAAGGATTAAGCAGCATTACAAGATTGGACTTAGTTATCAAAGTGGGGTTCCTTTAGGACTGAGACAGGTTTGTGAGCATCCCAACATAAATAGAGAGGTGGGGTAGGAACTCCTGCATTAAGAGTAACAGCACTACTAAAGATCTCCATAATTTGGATAGTGCTTAATTAGATCACGGTAGCCCGTGAACTCAGGGCTGGAGGCTATAGAGGGGAGCAGAAATACTACACTTTCATTTGGATTTTTTTTACTCAAAAAGTTTGTTTTACTCAAGGGTTGTATCTTCAAGCCTCATCCCCAATTTTTAGAAACAGCCCTTCCCTTCCCCTCCTTCCCCCTCCGCCCCAAGGAAAGCAGTCAAGACAGTTTAACTCATGAAAAATGATGTATTTGCACATCCTAAAGCACCAGTCTGAACTGAGCCAGCCACTGTGCAGATACATGGAAAGGTCTATTGTAGACAACTTCAGATTAATATTAGTGGAGAGTGGAATAAAGGAAAGGTCAGTGCAACTTTGTTTTTTCATTTAATAATAAGTCAGAGATCATTTGAGTTGCATCCACTCATCATCCTCAGCTCCAGCCTATATTTGGTTGGGACGCTTTCTCTGTAGAGCCTCTAGTTACGCAATTTCCCTCCTGTCACAAGACTGACTCTGAGAGGGGTCAGGCTTTCAGGACTCACAATGAAGTGACTCAGTTTCTTAGTTTCCTTGCTCTCCACTTTTGCAGAGTGAAGGAAAGATTTCTGGTATAGAGAATTACTTTCAGGCCTAGTTTATTTTAATTCAGTTACATTCAGATCTTACTTTTATGGCAATTGTAAAATAATTCTCCGGAGAAATGCCAAGTCTACCTCAGCAAGAAAGCTGCCCAGATGATCAAGACCAAACACCTAGCACTCATCACCTATTGGTGGGGAGGGAAAGGTAACAGAAGCTACCTCACACACCCCATCCCCAGCTCAGCAGTTCTTCAAAGAACAAAGAGGCTGGCAACCTCACCCGCACACCTTTCACTGGAAAGGTGCTCAGGAGGGGCCTTCCCCAAAGCACAGCTGGACTGTGTCAGACTGATAAGCCATCTAATGAAGTAGAATCTTCCTCTTGTTCTGGAGTACTTTGCTCTTTCTAGCTTTCTCTGAAGATCCAGGAACTTCACACAGCACCTGGACACCTTTGTGGACTTAAGCAAACTTGATACTGATGCAGAGTCCTCAAATCTGGTCCTTGCCTGTCCCTGTCAAGTTTCTTTCACCAGACAGGAAAAAAAAGCTGTCCACCAAGTCCTCCTGTCTGCCTGTATCCTGCTTTCAAAGATAATCTGGGAGACCTTGAGACAGGATACTGTATCTAGCCAGCAAGATCTGAACGCAGCTGTGCTCTAATCTTGCAGGCAAAACAACCCATACAAGAAAAAACATGTGACATGTATCTTGGTCAACTTGTGTCTCAGAAGAGTTTAGTTTTACCACTCCTCTGGTGTACGAACAGCCCTGCTTTGGAAATAAGGCAGCTACTTATACCAAGTGATAGGTCATAGCTGAGGATCTTAAGCAGAGATTAGAGTGCTCACAACTGGCCAGAGCCTGACAAGAACTTCAATCTACTCTTTATGCAGATTCCCCTTGGTTGGCTCCTTTTAATACCCCTTGCCCACACACTATGCTAGGAAGCTAGGCAATTAGTTCAGGAAATCAAGACTGTACAATGCAAGGCTGCCTAGCAAGCATTACAACATCCAATGACTTGAGGGTCTGGGCCTGAACGCACGTTTATTACTGCTGTAGAATTGTGCTTGCCCTAGAAAAAGAGGGAAGCTCCAAGATGACCTAGGCTTCAGGACCACACGCTGCCAATTAAAAGAAAGCAGACTGTCAACAATCATAGCTATTTTGTCTCTAGTAAGAGGAGTAATGTTAGTCTGTTCCTACTGTGAAACCTATTACAGTTCTGTATCCAAAGATATTAACTACCAAACATTAAGTCTGTCATTTTGCCTTGTATTACGTAGGCATATGCAGAGCTTTTGCCTTTGCTCCACAAAAAGAAACTCCTATGCTGTATTTTTTTGCTAGCTGCTGACTTCACTGGTCAAATTATTTCTAGCTCATTATTTTAAAATCATTTGGTTATTACAGTAATGGACCCTAAGACACAGTTAGGAATCCTTTCATGGAAAAAGATTCCAATTCCCCCTCCCTAGCATAGACACTTTGGCCCAACCCATTAAGTTTCGTTCTTTACTACTTGCAGCCTTTCCTCCCCCTTCATTCATGATTTTACATCATGCTGATAAGCATACAGTCACTCCACAAGCTATGATCTTCAGGAAAAAAAAAGTCTCACCCTGGACTACATGAGTCACAGTGACCTCAAAGATATACCACTGGGCTCCAGGCAGGCATTCAGGCAGTGACATCCCTTATACTGAAGATAGGTAGTAAATCCTGAAGTGAATCAGTTGAACGCTGAACAGTAGAGAAGTCTATATTTGAAATTAATTGGACAAAAGCATATAGAACCCTGTAAGTTAAATACCTTACTAGATTAAGCGTTTGTGACCTTCACTTTTACGTTATAGGCAGTAAGTTGCAGCTGATTAGTCTGAGCTGGACATTATGTGGCTAAGTTAATTGGCAGTAGAAGGCACTGCCCTGTTACAAATATGTCTAAAAGTTTCTAACATTAGGCTCAGCAAGTCTGATTATTTCAACAAACGAAAGACAAGTTCTCAAAGTCCTTTCTGACCCTGGGCCTTGTGGCTCATGATTTCAGAAAGTCCTCTGGTCAGCCTGATAAGCCTGTAAACTAGGGGCAGCTTTTCCATGAACTCAAATAACAGACAATCCTGCCCATCTGAGCAAACCTGCATGGGAAGGAAGGATTCTTCTCATTCTTCTCCTGAAGCTTTACACAGTTCACTACCTATGTGTTCTCTTAAACATACTGGAGGGTAATTAAAGAACTTTTGAAGCGCTTCAGAAAGATCTGGAAATTGGCCAAGGAATTAGCCTTTGCTCCATTTGTCAATCATTATTTCTGTTGTACTGCATATAATTTTCTCCACCAATTTCTTTTTATTTACAGGATACTAGCATGCAAAATTCTCAATGTCACAATAATCAGCCTTATGCATTTAACATAACTAAACAACCTGTAGTCATGGTATTATCTTATTCCTCTCACCATTTAAACTTAATATGCAAGTCAGGTTAATTTACTGCTCTCATGAACATGTGAAAATCTATGTAGATTCTTTCCAGTTAGCTTACCTTTCCATGAATGTTAAAATTGCTGTTTCTTGGTGCACTGACATTCTGAAAACTCTTTTTATACTGTGGAGCAGCTATCCAAGGTGAGTGCGGTGCTGGGGTGGAGATCATCATAAAGAAGGGTTCAAAATTTGATTTATACTCCAAGAAGTCCAAAGACATATTTGCCTACAAGCACCTCTGTTGGAGGAGGGAGGGGGGGGGAAAAAAAAAAAAGAGTTGTAACATCAAAGGAAAGAAAGGAGTACTTGAAATCCAAACTTGACATGCATAACTATTTTATTTAGAGCTTGATAGCACTGGGAACGTTTAAACTATTTTAGAAACTTACTGCTTGCACATCTACATCCGAAATAGCAGCTTATGATAAATTGATCTCAAGTGTTCATGTTAAACAAGTTCTCCATCCCACATTTCTGAACAGCATTCTGCTTTGGACCTTTACATTATTTAGATCTGGAAAGTTCATAAAAATGTTGTAAAAGATGACTCCAGCTTTTCATCCTGTTCTGCCTATTCTTGACTATCTACAAAATCCACCTAAACTTTCTCTTTACTGAGTAAAAGAAAAAGATAACTCTTGTTTAATACAGTCTCAAGTCCTTCTGAGGCTCTCAGATACAACCTCCTGCCTGACAAATCAGTTGGGCAGTTTTGGTTGTCATCTAAAGTGGTAATTGTTCTAAAAAGATTTTTCAGCTCCAGTGTTTATAACACGCTCATTCTGTAGCTAACTCCCAGCTTCCAGTAGGTGCCACATTTCTACTGGTGAAGCTGGAAGTTCCAACAAAGTATAGTTCTAGATCCCACTCCCTATTGCACACTCATTTTCACTTCAGCCTATACACAATTTCAAGTGGCAAGTTGGAAGAGATGGTGAGTTGTTACAGTTTAGCTTTCCCTTGGTTGGTCTTTGCAGTTAAAGACTTCAAAGTTAGCGCTTCCAGATCAGTTCTTCACTATTCAAGTATCACATTCTCCTTTCCTGTCTGATTAGCATTTCCCACTCTATTTCCTCTTCTTCCTCTGCAAGAGACAATACACTAGGAATTCCCCATAATACAAAACCCAGTAGGAACTCCTCTTCCTTCCTCCCCTCAACTTGTTCACCTAAGCAACTGGGACTGGGCTTCAGTTATACGATGACAGACTTGAAAGATAAGAACTATGCAAAGGTCTTCAGAAATCAGGAAGAAGTGGGGAAGTATGTAGAACTAGTCAACTTAGATTTTGTTAGGAGATTAAACTGTAGCATGTCAGGACCACAGTAGACAGATCCAGATTCTCAGCATTAGACTTAATTATGCAGATGCCCTCAGTCAGGAGAAGGGAGCTTGTGCAACACAGCAAACTTCTCATCAGCAATTTATTCGTGTTCCTGGTCATCCTCTATCACTGCAGATGTGCCAGTATGGGCATGGCTATTACTGCACATCAAGTTGCTTAAACTCAAGCACCAGCTTTGAAATGCTAAATACCTATTTGCTAACTATACACTGAACACAGAATGCAACACACTGAAAATTATTGTAATGCTGCTTCATCAGTAGGCAACTCACCACAAATTAGTGGTTTACGTAGCAATGAACTATTGGTCAAAATGTTTATGAGCTGCTGAAAGATCAAAAAAGACAAATACAATACCAGTAATAAGTCAGAAGTGAGACTATCCTATCAATTCCAATCTAGCCTAGGCCAGTGTAAAAATCTAAATTTAAAGCAGACAGCTGTTCAGTGTCCTAAGAAACATCAATCAGTTCAGTTCCTAGTAAGCAGCTGTCTCTATGTTAAAGAACCCACTGGCAATGAAACTCGTTAAGAGTTTCAGTGGAAGATTATGAATTGACTGCATGATAAGCAGTCATTTCTCATCATTAGCAAAGAATTTTTCTAAGTGCTGGTACAGCATGTTATTTGGGGGGTAGAGGGGAAGAGAGAGCACGTGCACAAATGAGTGTGCCCCACCACCACTAATACTACTTGCTAAACAGACTCATAAAGCAGAAAAAAAGCTAAGTAACTCTTGCAGTTTTCTTTTAATTATTTTATGCCCTTTTTATCTGTCTTAACTGTAAGAAGGTAAAGAGGCTAAAAACGTCCCTGGTCTACTACATATTTCAGCATAGCCCATACATTGCTTTTACAGGATTGATTAGCCTTTTATATTTCCAAGTTTTCAGTTTGATGTAATTACAGATAAGATACTGATACAATGTAATAGCTAACAAACAAAACACGATGTAAAGTTACTTTCAAGTGCCAAACTTCCCATTGAAATCTTGGTCCGATTTGTATCTGTTATAGAAGTTATGTATTGGAGTGAAACACCCTTATGTCTTGAAATAAGCTATTAATTAATTATTAATAAATAATGAAACAAACTATTAATAAAGATAACAATAATAAATTATTAATTATTAATAATTAATAATTTATTATTAAAAATTATTACTCAGGTGAGTAGCCTGAAAAAAATAGTGCTCCTGAATGCTCAGATATCTAGCATTGTAATATTGGGGTGCCTACATGCATCATGTTCCTCATGTGCCACAGAAGTCAACATTAACCTCTCAGCCCACTTCATCTTTCAATATATCTGGAATCTAGTTTTGCTGGTGAACCCCCACCACTATGACATGTAGTATTTATGAACAAATGCAGCCTAATAAACTGCCTTCTGCCCCCCCCAACCCCACCCCCCCCAGCATGAGGTATTATCCCGTCATGAGCAGCTTCTGTATCGCAGTGTTACTTCTTACCAGTACGTCGGTAAGGTAATCTACACTGTAGTTCTCACCGTGCCTTCGCGCTTTACCATTCACTGAGAGAGTATAGTTGTAGTACTTTGAATTTTTCTCCTGTGAAAAGAAGAGAGTCATATATATACACTTATAAAAAGCAACATGCATATTGATTTCTTGGAACAGTCAACATGAACAGCCAGCAAGTATTTGTCAAATGTAAGTATTGTCATAACCAAACCACAAACTTCTCACAACTGGTCTTCAGCAATGTCATGTGTTTTAGTGTTATGTTATACTTTTTTTGGCTTTACAAGTCAGAGTTTTTCCCCCGGACATCTTAGTAGGGGTAGCCTTCATAAAAAAAAAAAAAAGAAAGAATGTATATGCAATAGAGGCAAAAATGAAAGATATTTTGCATTAAGTTCTTAGATGCCCTTTGCCTGCAATGTCATGATCAGCAAAATTGGAACATAAGTTAGACTGCAAAGCAACCTAAATTAAATATTTTTAAAAACAACAGCCACATACCAAAGCATACCAGAAACTCCATCCAGGAGGTACATGGCCTACTCCCCCTGCATCTTCTGCTCCATACTGAAAGGAAAAAAAGTAGATGATGACTCATCATTTCAAATATGATGAATAAAAGCCAGGAGTTATGTTTCACATTCATGTGCTTTACTCAACACCAGTCAGAAACACCATTAAGCCAAATTCCACTTCAGAATGGAAAAACCCAAATACCCATATAAGACAGATGTACAGCCTGTTAAAGGGAGCAGAATAACTAGAAGGAAGGTGACTGAAAGCTTAAAATTTAAATTCTATTGGCGAACGCTATTTCCTGTTTTACTCTGCACGTGAAAATACGCAGAGATCCTACAGAACATATGGTATATCATCATGTAATTAGAGGTGATCAAAAGCCATATGCGTGTCTTAGGTTTAGTATCTTCTGAACTGTTAGCACACAAGAAAATTTTGCATAAACCAACAGTCTCCAGCATCCTGCCTGAAGAGGTGGCTTGAACTTTAAACAATGCTAGCCTCTGTCATCTTAGTGCCAGATGATCTACAACAGCCAGCCTTTAAGCCAGCAAAAGGGAAAGTGGCTGCTAAATCAGTGCCAAATTCAAAACAGAGGGGGCCTCAGAGCGACACAACACTGCTTCTCAGGGCTACCCCCTCCGACCTACATGGTTCCCCTAACTACAGGGACAGAGGACTATGCTGAGTCAAGGGATGCTCAAAAGCAGCAAAATAACCTTCTCTTCCCCTAGCTGCCTCAGTAACACCAGCAGAGACAGATCTGTGCCTGGCTATGAATATTCATATTCAGCTATTCTATTGTAACGCCAGCATTTTCCACCAAAAAATGCTGACAAAATACTGCTGTTAAGAACTTTAACTCATCTAGCTCCAAATGAAATTCCATCATGCAAGAGGCATGCCTAATTTCAGAGGTTTATCAGTGCTGAATTTTAAAAGCCCACCATGAAGTACTATAAACTATAAATTAGTTTAACAAAACAAACAAATACCACCACGCAAGTGATTCAGCAATAAAATGCTGGGTAACATCTGTAGAGCAGTCTAACAATTTCTCTTCTCCCAATCAATTTGCCTCAACAAGACTTTAATATTTAAAATAATGTATTAACTGCTAAGAAGAAAACATTCAATCTTCTTTTTAAGGGGAAATATCAATTGGGAATATTGAGACAAGCATATTTTTCTTTAAGTAACGTTATTCTAACAGCTTGCCTAGTCTAGGGCTGGCCTGATGGTGTTCTTCATACAAACCACATGCTAGTTCTCTATCCATTTGTTACCATCATTAAAATCATCACCTCTAGCAATTAATAAAGCTGAACTTAAAAACAAAACAAAAAACCTTCAACTTTGGATTCCATCATGTTTTCACAGTTAACTTTTAAAAAACGTTCAGGCACTTACAGAACCTGATTTTAAGCAAGTTCAGTTGAGGATTTAAACGTTGTATCTCATTTATCCTACCTCAGTAGAGGGAATCTCTGATCCATACCATTTTAAATATTTTGGAGAATCCATATTCATTTACAAACTTAAAGCCACTGAATATTTCGGAAAGGTGGAAAAGGCAAGTGAAGTGCATCACAGTAAAAATATACCTCATTCAAATACTTTCCAGCAAAGAACGTTTGATAGCCACACATAGTTTTGAGTAGTGCTGGGAAGGTATATGGCTCTTGGATCTTCTGCCATGATTTGCTGCTACAGTTTCCTTCCAGAGTGTTATTGACAACATGATGATTATGTGGGTATTTTCCTGTTAAAATGCTAGCTCGACTGGGACAGCAAAGTGCACTGGGAACATACTGGAAAGACAGGATTAAAAAGGTAAGACTGATAGTGCAAAACAATTTTTCCCCCAAAATTGAAGTTTTGAAGTATTAGATAATAGGCTCAGAGTTCAGCAACTTTAAAAATCTTCAAAAACTATACTCTTTTTTGGGCACACAGAATTACATCTCAAATATTTTCACTGATGAAAAGCTGCACATGAAACTGGCTTTAGGTTTCTGCAGCATACGGTCTCCCTTCCCCCCCCCCACATTACCAATTAGATGCAGTTCATATACAGCAACAAGTATCTATTAAAATACTGTGTGCCACTTGATTCGTTCCATTATTATAGCCATAATAATACACTAGAAAAAGAAGAGTGAAGCAGATTTTCAGCAATTATAAAGTTAAGACTAAAAACTAAAGTAACTACTTCTAGCACTTCAGTTCATTATAAAACTATTTAGACTATTCAGTTTTACTTTACTGCTCCAGGAAATTAGCACAACTACTTTCAGGAAGTCAAATTTTCTCTCTCAGACTCTGAATACGACCTTGAGCTATATTCATGTCAAGACCTGGAACTAGATAGAGATTGGATTTAAAAAAAACATTGTGGCAATTATTTCACAAAGTACTCTACAATTTTGAGATTTTCTGATTACCCAAAACGTAAACTGTACAGACACATATACCTCAGCAGTTCAAAGAGTTAATGCAAAACTTACTGCATTTAAGAAGGTTATTCCCATCTGTGCAATGAGGGCATTGGTTTTCTTTAGAGGGGTCTGGAAAAAAGGTACCAAAAATAAAATTAGGTAGTGTCTTTACGTGCATAGCTAAAGTAGTAAACTTGAAGCTATCGCTACAACTAGCTAAAAGATCTGTCACCATAGTTTCTAGGTAGTGTCCAGGCAAGTCATTCTTAAGTGTATTTTTGCTACGACTGCATGTGACCGCAGCAACGCACAGTGGTTGTGCAAGCAAGCCTACTAGAGCAGAAGTACACAGACATTCAGCAACTACCTGCAGCTACAGAGTCCTAGTCTTGACTGACTCCAGCTCAAGCCTGTTTCTTTGCAGAGAAACTTTGCTTCTAGCTTCCCAGACGAAGCCCACCACGATACTTTATTTCAGCCTCTTTTTGAAAACGCTGGTGTAACACAAGCGCCCGAAAGCAGAACTTTGCCTGGCACCAGGTAAAAGACCATTTCCACAGCTATTTGAAGAGCCCTAGATACCACGTTTTCCATCCCCAGACGGGAGCACCGCCCGCCCGGCCCTTTCCAAGCCGCCGGCACACCTCCCCGGCCCCACAGGCGGGAGGCT